TAATAAAGAAATTAAATTGATGATGCATTAATTAAATGCAATTTACATTTGAAAAATTAATTAAAATCAATATTTTAAAGATAAATTGAATGAATTATAAAAGAAAATCAAAAGTTATAAATAACTGGTTAAATAAATCTAAATATTTATTTTAAATATAGAAGTTATATGATATGATATATGCTAATATATTTATAAATGTTCCCTTAATTTTTGATAATAATAACTTTAAAAGAGGATAAGTTTTCTAAGTATCACTATTAAAAAAAATATATATATTAATGAAAATTATTATAAATTTTAAATAAAATTTTAAACAATTTCAAAATTTAATAAATTTATTTATATTTATCTAATGAGATTTATAATGTGAACTAAATATGATATATGAATTAATTGTAACATTATTGGTTTTAAAACTTCTTTATAGCATTTTTTCATGTATGCTGTAAAATCTGAAAGAAATAATTTTGGTAAGGAATAGGGATTATTATAATTAGTTAAAATAGTTAAAAATATTCCTTTCATTATTGAATTATTGACATAATCTAATAAATCAACTGATATAAGCTTTGTATTTTAACAAAAGGAAAAAAAGTATTCACAATACTTCTAGAATAATCATCTGTAGTCTTATTCATTATTATTGCTACAGATTTTTGATTAAAGTAATTTTAAAGTAAGAAAAATGTTTATCAAAAACATTAGGTAATATATTTAACGAAAGGTAAAAACTTGAGAAATTATACCTCTTTCTCTAAGGTACTTTTTAAAAAAAGAAAAAAGTTGATTTACTTTTCTAAAAGGATATTTAAAAAGAAAAAAGCTTTAATTAAATCCTTTATAACTTTCTTTTTAGATTTAAGTATATTATTAATTGTAGAAATAATAGTTTGTTTTTTTTGTTTATTACTTGTTAACTTTATTTTATTTAAATATATCCTTTTGAAAGATAATATTCATTTATGGTAGATTTTGACTTCTATTTAACTGAAAAGTTACAAAAATTACAAAATAATAATATCTCTATTATCTCTAAAAATACCAAGATATTCATTAATACGAATATTTATAGATACTTTTTTTTACTTATTATCATACAGTATCTGCTAAATGTTCTAACTTAATTTATAAAACAAATGTATAACACAAACTTTAATTATCAATTAAAATTTGATCTTATAAAATCACGTGATTCTGTGATTTTTATTATGAAAATTTTGGAATTTTTAAATTTTATGATATTATATGGTAATTTAAATAAATATTATAGTTAGATGCATTTAAAAAAAATTTTACAGTATTTTGTGAATCATAAGAAATTATCACTTTTGCATCAGTTATATTAATTATGTAATTGTAATTGATTATCAAATTAAATAAATTAAATATTTAATAATTATGTATAATTTCTATATACTTTAATTTTAAAAAATATGCAAAAATTAATCAGTATTAAATATATAGAATTGTAATACAAAATTACTAAAAACATATTAATAACATATCATTTTCATATTATTTTCATATATAAATTTCTTATAGGGTATATTTAATATTAATTAAATTAAATTTTAGAGGAATTGAAATTATTAAGGTTTTGTCTTTATTGATCATTGCTTTATAATTATATAAAATTCATCAGATACTTTAAGAATATTTTTTAGATTATCTTTCAAATTAGCAAACCAATTAAGTTATTTATAAAATTTAAAGCTGATACTTATATAAATAATGATTGAGATATCATTTGAGATATATCAAAAATTCATATATAGTTTAATTTATATTCTTTATAAAATTTATCAATTTTATATAATAAAATATTAAAGTAAATACAAAATAAAAGCAAAGATATTCTTAATGATTAATACTAATTTAATATTAAAAAAAATCATATAATTTATTCTTTATTAATATAGCATTTTTTCTATTAGTAAAAAGATTAATGATAAATTTAATATAATATTTAGAAATTTTAATTTTTCTAAGAGTAAATTTAAAATGTTAATATTAACTCTATTATAAACTTTAGATAAGTTTTGTAGAAATATTTATAATTCTTTTTTATGATTTACTATATTTTTAATAATCATATTTATCATTTTTATAAGGAATTCAATAGAATCTTTAAAGAGACTAGCAAAGTTATTTTCTTTTAAAATATTGTATTTTATAATTTTATTTACTAGTTTATTATTAATAATTTTTAAAAACTTTTCTAATTATTTCTAATAGAATAATTAATTTTATTTTATGATATTACAATTCCATTCAGTTAGCTTTAGAATTAGATAAATATATATTAACTTCTATTCTGATGGAATATCTTCTATAATGAATCACATCCTTATTAATTTCTAAAGCAATTCTTATACTGCTAAACCTAAATATTAATTATTAGTTTTTATTATTTTATATAATACTATAACATTGATTTATATATTATAATTTTGAATATAATATTAAATGGTAACCTCTGAACAGTATATTAGAGGTGGATTATTGGTTAACTTCGGATTAACTGAGACCTAATAAAAATATAATTGTGAATAAAATCATTATGTTCTCGGTCTAAATTAGTCTTAATTCCAGCCGGAATTATGAATTATGATGTCACGGGACTTCGAATTACATATTTATTAATTATAATTATACTATAATTCACTATCTCTAAGGTAAATTTTAGCAATGCCGTATAAATATTAATAATCAAATTGTATTATTAATAATGATAATTATATTATTAATAGTAATGTTCAATTTTAAAAGACAATTTATAAAATTTAATAATTGAATTGTATTTTAAAGGTTCTGATAAATGTGAAATTAATTAAATAGGGTAAACTTTCACACATTTCAGTTGCGTAAGAGAAACTATAAAAGGATAGATTTGATCTAATAATCGCATGAAAAAAATGACTTTGACTTTATCAAAACTTATTAGTCATCCACCTTTCTCCAATATATCTGGCCGTTCGATTATTGCTCGTCGTAATTTGTTCTCACAACGTTTACGCATACCTTATCCGTCTAATTCCTTTACATTTCCGTTTTCAACCATGACAACTAAGTTAATGAAAGCCATTCAAATTACAAGAACGGGTGGACCTGAAGTTTTAGAGTATTCGGAAATTCCGTATCCCAGCATTACGGGACAAGACGATGTTGTTGTTAAGAATTTCGCCATTGGGATCAATTACATTGATACTTATCATAGGTAAATTTCCAATTGAACACATATATATTTTGTAAAATAATTATGAATACATATACAAATTCATAATTCTTTTATAAATCAGATCAGGTCTTTATAAACTAGATCTTCCCACAGTCATTGGCAGAGAAGGTGCTGGAATTGTAGAATCCGTTGGCGAAGGTGTAAAAGATGTTTGTCCTGGTGATCATGTGGTTTTCCTTGGAGCGCCAAGTTATGCGGAATATACTACCGCTAATGCAAAATATGTTGCAAAATTACCGGAAGGAATAGATTTTAAGCTTGCCGCTGCTTCACTTCTTCAGGTATCAAGTGATTACAATTGATCATTTATAAGGTTCAAAATTTTATAATTTCGTTGAATCGCGCTATTCTATTTTTTTAAAGGGTTTAACTGCATGGACTTTAGTTACGCAATCTTATGCCGTACAAAAAAATGATTGGGTTCTTATCCATGCAGCCGCAGGAGGGGTAGGACTTCTTCTTACACAACTTTCAAGAAAACTCGGTGCCAATGTAATCGGAACGGTTTCAACTCCAGAAAAAGCAGAAATAGCAAAAGCTGCTGGAGCAGATCATATAATCAATTATTCTCATCAAAATGTGATAGAAGAGGTTCAAAGGATCACAAATAATCATGGAGTACATGTAGTTTATGATGGGATCGGTGCTAATACTTGGGAAACATCCTTAGCTTGTGCACGAAGGCTTGGATCTATGATTTCATTTGGAAATGCTAGCGGCCCCGTGCCACCCTTTACAATTTCAAGGTTGTCAGAAAAGAATTTAAAATTGATGAGACCAATATTGTTCAATTACCTCACGACGAAGGAAGAATTTCAAAGGTACACCGCCGAAGTGCTTGAAATGGTAGTTAACAAAAGCTTAGAAATTAAAATTTGGAAAACATACAAATTAATTGAAGTTAAACAGGCCCATATAGATTTGGAAGGAAGAAAAACTTCTGGAAAATTGTTATTAGAACCTTGAATTTAATTTTAAATAATTATTATTTATTTTTAAAGTATTAAAAAATCCATTGAAAACAAATAAATGCAAACATTTTATCCGGATCTGCGAGCAAATACCCGTCAGATGATGTGTAAATTATTAATGCACCTTGTCGAAGGGTTTTTTTGATACACCATTTAAAGGCAGAATTTGTGAAGCCACTTCGCTGGTTCCAACTTCGGGAGTGGTCTATTGAAGAGTTCACATGCAAAATTCACATTATAAACGTTATTTAGAGAAGTGATCGACATACTATTTCACATCACGTGTTGTTGAATTAAAAAATTTCGGAAATTAATCTTGCCCGTTATAAATTTCGTCAGCGCAGCAAAAAAAAAAAAAATAAATTTTCTAAAAAACCCGTGATGCATTGGTTCTATTTTTTGATTAAAAATTCTTTTTTTTTTTTTTTTAAAAAAAAAAAGAATACGTTCCTACATAGTGAACGAAAAGAATTTTACTACTTATCAAAGTAACGTTAAAAAGTAGGAAATCTACTCTTTAAGTATTAAGAAAAGAAATCGACTGAGCAAGCAAGTGCCAGTGATACGAAATTTATTACCTAAATATATATAATCAATAGGTAGTATTTAACGGTCGAATAAAAACATTATCTGGTACATATTCTTATTAAACTTAAGCTTTCCTCTTTTTTTTTTAATCGTTATGCGTTAATAAGTAAACATATAGAGTTAGAACTTACGTTCCTTTGCCTTTATAGATTACGGTTTTTTTTCTCCCAAAAAGTATAAACTAGATTTGAAGATTCAGGATGCAACAACGTGACGAAGTTCAGGTCGAAAAGGTGTTAGAACAAGAAGAAGGAGAACTTTCTCAGGAAGAATTACCAAATACTTCAAATGAAAGTAGTGCACCTAACCAAAACAACAACAGAGACACCAATACTGGGGAAGTGAGCGAAACCACACCCGCAGAGAATAAACAACAAATTGATAAACCACTCTGTCGATATTTTGCACGCGGAATTTGTCGTTACGGAGAAAATTGTCGATATTCTCATGATGATCAAGTACAACAAAATGGACAGGGATATCAAAATGGAGTTGGTGCGATAGTGCCAAATGTGCCAAATGTGCCAAATGGAAACGGGATTAGTAGTAATGATTTAAAATTTGGAGTATTAACTCATCCTAGAAGCTCAACTCCTTGTAGATTTTTCGCTAAAGGTTATTGTCGTTATGGAGATGATTGCAAATTCGCACATAATAGTATTGTTATTCCAAATGGGAACATTGTTCATCATCATCCGCATCCTCCTTCTCAATTTGCTCATTACCAACAACAACCATATGGTGAATGGAGCGGGTTTCCCCCCGATGGTGACAATAATGTTATAAAACCTTGGGATGAAGATTCTCAAGAAGTCTTGGATGCTATGCATCAACAATCTTATTATTAATATGTTTTAGCAATCGATCGTTACCTGCTGAAATACATATATATTTTTTTTCCTATATAATTTTTTTATATTTATATATATCTCTCTTTAGTCTTGTGAGCACTATTTTTGTATATATACTTTCTTTTTATTCTTCATAAAAATCTTGTATATACAAATACACTTTTATGCCCACTCCCTTTTCCAATTTCATTTTTCATCATTATTTTTAGTTATATTATTCAGAATTTTAAAACTTTAGTATCAATGAAGAAAAAAAATTTACTTAGTTAACAAGATATCTAGTATATGAAAAAGAACATTATTGCTACAAAAAAATTTTCAGTTTAAAAGAAAATTTTATATTAATCCTACTTACTTTGTATATAGGATTGTATATAGGTTTTTTATATATATATATAATAGGTAGATTCAAAAAAAAAAAAAAAAAAAAAAAAAAAAGGAAAGAGGACATTTTACTTATATTACTTATATTAGTTCTTTTAATTTTTTTCTTTATATTACCTATATGAATAGCATTTTTTTTTTTTTTTTCTTTTTTTTTTTCTTTTTTTGTTTTTTTCGCGTCACTATTTTTTTTTACAGTGAAAAAAAAAAAAAAAAGAGATATTAAATGAAAATTACATCTGAATGAAATTTTTTTAAAACAATTATTTTTTTAATATTTTGGGAAATTCAGATTAAATTAAAAATAGACGCGTAACTGTTTCCTCCAAAAAATATATATATATATATATAATCATGTGAAATTTAACTTGAAATAAATAACTTGTATAGGTTTTTTTTTTCTTCTGATAGAAAATGTCACTTATAAAAGCGCGTTCGTTTCTATCTCGTGCGCTTCAACTGTACCAAACCAAAGTTGCTCGGAATCTTTCCCGTACTATTCATACTATTCATGATAAAAATATCATCACGATAAAATTCCAAAATCAGAATCATTTTAATAATATATCAAGAAACAATTTAACTACGACTAACTCGTTATTTTCCAATGAATCGATTATAACTAATCCTATAGAGAAACAAATAACAGATGACATTAAGGATGATAAGATTAAGAGGAAACAAAGGATTGAAATTAAGTTGAATGAACAAGACTTGATAGAATCATTTGTAAAAGGATCAGGCAACGGTGGGCAAAAAATAAATACATCATCAAATTGTGTAGATTTAAGACATGTTCCAACAGGAATGAGAGTTCAGGTTAAAAATGATTTATTTTTTTTTAAAAAAAAAAAAAATTTTTAATTTTTTTAAATTGATAAAAGTACGAAATGTTTAATTCTTTTAAATTTTTAGTGTCAAAAAACAAGATCTTTACAACAAAATAGAAATATAGCAAGAAAAATCTTGATAGAAAGATTAGACAATTATTATAACGGTGAATTAAGTAAGTTTAATTCAAAAAGAGAAAAAATCAGAAAAAAAAAATTAAAAAGAAATAAGAGAATTAAAGAAAAATATGGCGATAAAAATATACTTATGAAAGAGAACGAGAAGGAGGAAGAGGAATTAGATGATGGTATAAAAAATTTAGAAGATTTGGAAGTTGAAAAAAATAATCAGAATTGAGTAGTTTGGAATTTATTTATTTTTAACATAATTTATTACATTATCATTATTTTTCTTACGATAATTTATTATTTTCTTAATTCGAATTTTAAACAAGTAAAACTGCGTTAACGCATCCATCATTTTCAGGATTGTTCGTGACCTGAGCATATTTACCCCAAACAACTTTACCAGAAGTTGTAACAAGTCCTAATTCCGAAACATTGATCTCAATAACGGTACCTTTAGTAAGTACCCCTAATTGAGTGTAAAGAGGACTTTGTGGATTTTTCTTTACACTAATGATGGGTAAATGAAAAGTAGCCCCCAACTCCGGGTGTGTAACATGAGCCTTTTTATAACGTAACGCCATAGGCCTGATAAATCTTTCATATTTTGGTGGTTTACGAGTAAATCCATCTCCAACAAACGTTGCTTTGGTAACCATTCGTTTCCATTGTTTAGCTATATAAATAGGAGAGAGTCAAAATTCTTGGATGAAATTTTCAGGAAAAAAAATTTTATTTAAAAAAAAAAAAAAACTTGCAAAAGCTTACTTCTATTTTTTCCAGTTTTGACAACTTTAAATACTTCTTCTTCTGCGATACCTCTAACTTTAGGTAATGGTACGTCCCATTTACCAGCTTTTTCTTTGCGTTTCTGTTTTACCATATTTGATAATAACTTGGCCCTTTGTTGTCCTTCACGATCTAATAAATATGTTGGTAATGCTCCTTCAGGTACTCCTTGTCCATCTTTTTGTTTAACTGATTTCTCCTGGTGTTGTTTAATCCTTTATTTATGTAAATCAACAGCGAGTAAATGTTAAACAATTATTCGCTTCAAGAAAAAAAAATACGCTAAAAACAATAATTACTTCTTTTTCATTTCTATTTTTTCTGCATGTCGTTTTTTATTGTATAATTTTGCCCTTATACCGTGAACTTTTTGCGCAAAAGCTGAAGAGCTATGAGCTTCACGAGCCTTCTTCTTTCGCCTTAATTTATTAAACTTAATCAATAATTTATTAAATCATCAAAACTAATAAATAATTAATATTACTTTACTTGCGCTCTTCATAATCTAATCTTCGTCCATGTTTTTTAATGGCCTTTTCAATATACTCATTTTGCGGCTATCTCCAAATAAATAATAAATAAATAAAAATACTAATTAAGATTCGTTAATTTCCAATCTTTTATAAATAAAGTAGATTTACCATGACGACGAATGAACAATAACAAGGAGTTAAAAAAAAAACCAGATCGATATTAAAATGATTTGCGTCCGACTTTATTGGTTTTGACTCAACCAGTGAAAAGTGGCTGGTGTGGCTGGATGCAGATCAGTCAAACTAGGAAACGGAAACCGTTTTTTCAAAAAAGGAAATTTATGTAACATATTTTTGTGCAATTTCTATTGGTGTTTTGTTTCGTTTTTTCTCACGTTTTTTTTTTTTATAACGGGTCGTATTCTTCAACGGAGATTTTTTGTGGTGCCTCAAAAAACTTTCTTTAACTGAGGATTTTGAAAGACTTTCCGGTCTTCCTTCAGAGTTAAATAAATGGTATGATAATATAATGCTGTTCGAAATAAGTTAGAGACTTCCAATAAGAATTTAGAAGGATATAAAAGCCAAAACAAAGACTTGGCTCATTGTTTAGAACAGGTTCAGGTATCATGGCAAGCCTTAATAACGTTAAACAGAAAAGTATTTTCCTTATCTTTAGTTCTGGTTTTCTTTAAAGTTTACTTTTTATTGAGAAATAGCATATTGTTTAACTGGCCTTGGGGCTACGGCTTGTCCGTATTGATTTTGCTGTCCCTTGTGTCTACGCTCTATCTTTTTTTTATTTTTTTCTTTAATCTATCTTATTCTTTAAAGTTTGCTTTTTATTGAGAAATGGCGTATTGTTTAACTGGCCTTGGGGCTACGGCTTGTCCGTATTGATTTTGCTGTCCCTTGTGTCTACGCTCTCTCTTTTTTTTTCTTTTTTTTCTTTAATCTATCTTATATTATACTATTATTATTTTACTTTTTAAATGTATTGTAACTTTTCTATTATATATTATATGATTCTTTTTTTTTTATCTCAATAAAATTATTGGTTTAAGTCACTTTTGCTTCTTTTAAAATTTTATTTTGGTTTTCTTTATTATGTTTAATATATTTTACTAGAAATAAAACTCTCGTCATATATCATATTTAAAATCATAGTTTTCTTTCTTTTCATCTACTCGGTTATATTTTAAATTTTTCATAATTGTCAATAAACTTTTTTCTTAAAGGCATCAAATTAGAAAACTATATATGCTAAGTCAAAAAGACAAATATACAAGATTATATCCATCTTGATATGATAACATTATCGTAATACATGCAGACAATCAGAAAATTCAATGATCATATTATTCTATCATACATCGTAAAATATAATGTTGTTCACTTCACCTCAGTATAATAGACATTCGTTTATCACAAAATAATAAAATCAAATATCAATCTTTTTATATTATGTAATACAGTATATCATTTCAATTGACTTAAAGTAATAAAAAAAAAGATGCAAAACTAATTTATCAATACTCAGTTTTTTTGCATCAAATATGTTATTCATTCTTTTCTTTATATTTGGATAAAAAAAAAAAAGATCTGGAGATTTCTGCTTTAAAGAAAGTTAAATAAGAGCTGAAATTTTAATGCTTAAGATATATTTTAAAATATATTTTATTTAATAATTTATATTTTACTAAGCTAAGTTTAAAATATTTTTAAGTCTACAAATAATTTTCTATTATTACTTCTTTTTTTTATTTTCATTATCTAATATTTCATCATCTAATAAATTATTATTAATATATCATCTTTTTAATAATCTTTTTATATAGGATTTTCATTAAAGACAACATCTACTTTATAGAATTCTAAATAATAATTACATAATTATTTTGTTTTGAAAAACATTAATAATGAAAAGTATGATCTTAATATTTAAATATTTGATACATTAATCACAAATATTATTAGAAAATAGTTTAAATGTATGATATCTAATAGATAAATATTTATAATTTTACTTTTTAATTTAATGTTACAAATTCTTTTTAATTTTTAATTTTTTTTTAATTTTTATAATTATTACAAAAAAAATATAGATATATTTCATATTATATATTTTTGATTTAATTTAAGGATTTTTATATAAAAAAAACTAAAAAATATTTTTTAATAATTAAAACTAATCTTTTTATTTTGTTATTTTGGTATAATCAATTTTATATCAATCAAAATTAATAATTATTATAGAGCATTGATTAAACTATCTCTTCATATAAACTATCCTCTTAAGGTTTAAACCAAATTTTATAAAAAATTCAGATATTTTACATAGAATTATTTTTTTTGAATTGAATAATAGATAATTTTATTAAACTTTTATTTATTA